TCATTATAAGCTCTCGATCTTACATTCCTCTATCTCTCAGTGTGCCTTAGTTGTCTTACTCTTAAACCAGTTCTTCCTATATGTGTATAATCCACTGTCTTGTGTCCTTGCTATCCACATCAAAAATATTATTCTTTCAAAAGGTAGCACTGACCATAATGTCGTTTTTCATGGAGAACACATTCACGAATATATACTATCGATACATATCCTCTTAACTCACTATATATTCTTTTCTTATCACTAACACTATCTCAATTCTATTTACACCATCTCTTATCCTTATCTTGCTGATATCATATCTAAAGCTTACCTCATACTTGGATACATGTGCCCCAAATCAATCTATATCAATCTGGCCCACTCCAATAACTCAAAAAACTCTTGAATTTATAGTGGTATTAATGGATTTCTTAACTCCAAATTCAACCCTTGTAAAAAATTTGTAACATTTTTTTAGCAGTCATAATCAAGTGAGTAGCATACCTAACCAATGCAGAAAACTCAGCTTCATACTGCATCATTGTCTTGCATCCCTACTCTAACTTAATGAAAGCTCCTTGAATCTATCTTTGAGCTGACAAAGATATAAATCACATCTTAAACACTATAATGACTTCATTCCAAGTGATCTTAGCAGTGGTCTTCCCCTTTAAATAGGAACACTGATAATGACACAACTCTTATTTCTGGATACTACATAATGTCAAAGATTTTCTCTACCCTTAATAACAAATCTTCTACAACCTGGGGCCTTATAACTCCTTCGAATAATGGGGACTTAAACTTATGAAATAGATGTCAATGTCTTTCCTCTTCTACATTTCACCTAGATGACTTATATATATATATATATCTGTTTGTTGAAAAGTTGGTTGAAATTTGAAAAAGAGGATTTGAAAAGTTAAAATTTTTAAGGAAATTTAAAATTAACTTTTAAATTTTAATTTTGAAATCAAACATACCATCTCGAAAAGTGAAAATAAGATTTTTTTTTAATGGAGTTCATATTTAGAATTACAAACTACATTTGGAATATCGTAACCAAATTTAAGGAAGAACTACATATGACCCTAAAGGGTCAAAATGACATTCTACCAAATATTTGACAATGATAGTCTAGGTGAAGGATCATTAATTTCATATTCGAAGTCATGATGATAAATGATATATCTTCCCAGGAGAAGAAGATATCACCTATCATCAATCATTCAAATGTGACAATAATAATCATTGTTGATTTTGATATTCCCAAAGAAAATTAATTGAGTTTGGAAAGTTGAAGTTAAAAAATTGATATGGATTTTAAATCTCTTATGAGGGTAAACTCTTGTAGTTAATTACATTATAGAAAAGTTGAATTTCCTACGAATAGTGTTGATCAAAATAAAGGTAAAAATTTCATTTAAGAGATTTTTGAGGAGTGATATCAAGGGAAGTGAGAAAGGAAATCTAATAGCTATGGATTGGATCAGATTTTAAACACTTATTTTCAGATATTGCAAGAAGAAAAGTACGAGGTACTTTGAGATTCTGAAACATTTTAGAGGCACCCAGTCTACTCTATGTGCTGGGCTTTAAATTTTGATTGAGGAGAATTTTTTAATTTGCGTTAACATTTTATTAGAAAGAGAGCAAGAAGGGGGATGATCTTTAAGCATTAAAAATCCAAGCCCATGAAGAAATGATGTTAACATCCAGGACAAGATGTACCACATCACTAAAGAAGATAACTACAATCATAAAGAATCATAACAAAACAAGTGCAGGCTCATCCTCGAAGCATTCTTCGAGACACTTCGAAGGAGACAGAAAGGAAGAATAGTTTGGGGAACTTGAGCTCTTGGAGAGTAAAGTCGGGTTCCAACTGTGATAAGGGTAACCAGTTTTGTTCAACTGAGAGCTTCCATCTTTATTTTTTATCATCGTATTTTTTTTCATATATATTTTTTATCTATTGATAATCATAGATTGGGTACACCCCATATTATGAAAGTTAACACATTATAGAGGAAACGTTTACCATATTCGTGAGTTACTCCTAACATGAAAATGTTCTCTAATGATTGAAACACAAGGAGAGGGAGATATGAATGGCTTTGATAACCTAGGCCATATTTGCCACATGAATAAAACTGGGGAGAGAAATTATACAAGATCTTGTAAAGAAGTGAAGCATTGACTTCGATAACTCAGACCACATTTAACTCATGTGAATGATTTGGGGAGGGGAGCAAAATTACAACCAAATTAATGTATAAATGAAACCATATACAAATAATGTATCAACATTACTATTCATGACTAACATAGGTTGGTATGGACCCAGTATCAGATCCTCTAAGGGATCTAAATCAATGATTTTGATATCTCATACAACATGCAACTCATACGAATGAACTGGGGGGGGGGGGGCATACGAATGAACTGGGGGGGGGGCTAAACCTGCAAAGGGGGAGACAAATTGAAGGTTATATGTGCTAGCACCAATGTGATTGATGTGCGTAGACACAAGCACAATCATCCCTACGGTGTATTAGTGTATCACCTTTAAGGATATCCTTATACTCTGCGTAATGAACATCATGTGGTAGAGGACAAATCATCGTGGCTACACAGACTGCCGAAAAGTAAGAGGAATCCTTTCAGATGGTATATATACATAAGGATATTTACAGGCGATATGGGAGGCTCCCCCTACGACATACAAAACTCAAGCATAATACTTTTTCAAGTACTGCTCGTTGATGACAGGCATAGGGTGAATACCATTTGTATCAATAAGTAGGTAAGCACCACCTTTATAGACTTGCTCTATGATGAAGGGGCCCTCCCAAATAGGCTCAAACTTACCACTTCAGTGACAGTACGAAATGATAGCCCTACATAAGACAAGAACTAAGTCACTGGCTAGAAAAGTACGTGGTCAAACTTACCACTTCTACGACTTGATAATTATTACAATATCAACCCTATAAAAAAGAGTTCTTCAAGTTCAGAGGGAGTTAAAGCAACACAAACTTAATTTATATACTACACTACAAAAAATGTCATACTTTCTTTTAAGAAATAACTACAACAATGCTTTATGGCACTATTGAGTCGGCTATATGAACTCTTTTTTTACATTGTGTTCTATTTAGAGTTAAATTTTCTTTTAAATCTAATAAAAATAATAATTTTTAATAATTTCAAACCATATTTTTTTAGGTTTGCCTCTACTTTCTCAACATAGATTGAATCAAATACATCTACTCTACTAACAAAGTCATTGGAAAGCTGAAATTTTATATAACCAAACCATTGAAGGTGACACTATTTAATCTTATTTGCCATAGGAGCTACTCCAACCATTTCACATATATACGCATCTCACATTTTGTCTATAAATGTAAAACCACTCATCCACCGGAGCATCCTTATCTCTGCAACAGTTAATTTAATTTTATGCTCCTCCCTTAATAGTCAACTTTCTACACCAAAAGCATTACAGGTCTTACCATCATCTTATAAAATTTTCTTTCAAATTTGACGGGTATTTTTCCATCACACAAAAGACTCGATGCATTCCTCCACTTCAACCATCCAACTTAAATTATACTAATAATATCCTCATCAATTTCACCATCGCTTTGAGAGATATCTAAAGAGTGCACTCCTTTTTTTAATGACTTGATCATCAAATATTACATTCTCACCACAACATTTATTACTATTAAAATTGCTTTCCATATATTCAATCTTAGATCTACTCAAACGAAAAGCTTTAGACGCAAAAGTTGACCTACATAAGTTAAAATTTTCATCAACTCCCTCTCTAGTCTAACCAACAAGAAAAATATTTTCAACCAAAAGTATGCACCAAGGTACATTCTCTCACAAATGTCTAGTAATAATTTTTCCTAAGCATTTTAAAAAATTAGTTTGAATTAATTTTTTTTTACAATTTCCATTTGTATTTTATAATTTCTAAGAGAGAGAGAGAGAGAGAGAGAGAGAGAGAGAGAGAGAGAGACTTCTTAGATAAAGAGGCATCTACAAGAAAGGGAGAATTCTATGAAAGAGTGACTTTTGAGATAAACAGTGACTTTTGAGAGAGAGAGAGAGAGAGAGAAGAAGAGACATTTAAAAGAGAGAGACTTCTAAAAGAAAAAAAAGTTGGAGAGAGAAAAAACTCCCAAGAGAGAAACTTCTAAAAGAGAGAGAAGCTTCTAAGAAAAATATTCTTCTGAGAGAAAGTGAGAGGGAGAGAAAAACTTGTAAGAGAAGAAAAAAACACTTCTAAAAGAGTAAGAGAAAAAAAATAAGAGACTTAGAGTAATGTATTTCTAAGAGAGAGTGAGAGGCTTCTAAAAAAGAGAGAAGAAGCTCCTAAGTAGATTAATGATTGAATATAAATTTAAATTTCCTTTTAATCCTCTCATATAGACTTCACTTAAGTCCTTAGGGTGGCTACAACTTTCTGTAATAGTTATATAACTATTATGGTGAAGACATTTTTAGATTTTATAAAAAAAAATAGCAAAATTCTTGTTGCCAAATATAAGTGTCACAGTGATCTAAAAAATAAAGGATAAAAAAAAAAAAAGTTGCCCCAACAGGCCTTTACTCTTTTTTTTTTTAATTCATGTTCTCGTCAAATCTCTCTTTGTATCATCCCTATCTCTATCATTTTTATGATTTAATTTTTTTACATATTAATTATATATAATAATGAGCTATATTATAACTAATATCTTATAATCTATTTTTTCTTATGAATATACTCCTTAGTCAATTCCAATGATAGAACTTGGAACAGCAATTTTTATTTAATAATAATTTGTCTTTATTCAATGTAATTATAAGTAGTTCCATGTTGATTGTGCTCAATATTATTTTTACAATAATACAATAACTTTCAGTCTCTGAATCTTTTCTTGTGTGATCACACTGAAGAAAGAAAGCTTATATAACTTTCAATAATATCTTCGTCTTGACTGAAAACTTTAGAAGCAATGCATGCTATGCAAAGAAGCCTTTTTTATTTCCATCTGAACTAAAACAAATGTAATCCTAATTTTACTATAATCATTTAATTAAATCCATTATATAACAAGCACGAGATACACAACAGTAAGAGAGTCTAAAGTCTAAACAAATAGATAAAATCTCACCTAAGATGAGCTTACTCGCTGTATCAACCATGGGAGATTTTCCAGAAAGAAAACTAGAGCTCCTCCGAGCAGAAGCATCAAGGAAAAAGCAATCAGTATCTTTACAATATATTGAAAACTTGTCGTGGGACTTGTTCCAGCAGCTGGCTTCCCAATATAATTGCTTTCAGATGGTTTCTGCAGTAGAAGAGTAGCAGATGAGACTTCAATTACAACCAAATTAACTGAAACATATTAATAAGAAGCTAGCAATGAAGTTCTAAAATATTGATGTTTATTAACTTTCTTCATTTTGATGTAATTAGAATAATTTTAAACTATACAAACACTTGTAGGGGCTGTTTGGTTTCTTATTTCAGATAGGATTTATACAAGATTTAACACTGGGCACTTCAAATCCTACTATTTTGATAAATTCCATTTCAACTTCAATATTAGTTAAAGAAAATGATGTAATAAATTTGAAGACTTCTTTTTTTCATAGATCTTAAATACTGAAGCCAGACAGTTTATCATGATTTAACAAAGTTAATAATTGTAGGCTAACCACTTTTCAATTTTTTCCCTCTCAAAATTTACCCAATTTGGGTTTACAGGATCTACTAAATCCTACTTTTAGCTAAACAATCATTTAAAATTCCATAAATGTAAATGGTTTCGTTTTCATCCACAAAACGAGAAAAATGAAGGGAGGGATCAATATTTTTAATGCAGTAAATACAATAGCAATTTTGTTAAGTTCAGAAGCGAAAGTAAATTAATGTACTAAAAGATGATGCAGATATAACTTTGGCTGTTCATAATTGCAATCCTAATTTGGGATCAAATTCCACAAAAAAGGATATTCTTTTATGACGTGGAGAACTACAGCAATCGTTTTTCAGATGGTTTGTATACCAAATAAACATGAAATCAAGCCTGTAGTACAGCTAACGCTACATAAGCTCCATATATGAATTCCAAAAATCGGTACGATATCTTGACTAGAATGAGTCAAAAAAAAATATTGAATTTATTTTGAATGAGTGCAATATAAATTTGAATTGTCTGTCCATGTAGATTACTAATCTCAAAGAAAATCCAGTGATTATGCGACCCATTATGATTAAAACTTAATCTGCATATCCTATCAAAATCTTTTATCACTCTGAATAACAAATCAAGTATGAGCACCAACGTGTTAGGAAGTACTTGAAGATTTCAAGTAAACCCTAACAATAAAAGCAAAAACACTGAGAAAACTACACCAATTCACAGTAATTTTATTGCAAGAATCCAATAGAACGGAAGAAAAATAGCAATATACAATTGATCCTCTATTCGAGAGGAGGATCTATCTCTCCCAAATCTCTAAACGCCACTAGAGCCCAAAAACCAAAGAAATCCCAAATTTCAGCCAAATTCAAGATGCCCTAACCCTAGGAAATCAAACTATTTAATGCATACAATCCAAAAGGAAATCTCTAAATTTTGAAATTTCCCTCCAAACTCTCTTCAAAAACCTTCCTAAGCAGCTCTATCAAACTTGGGGGTCAGATCGGGAGTATAGGAGGTGGAACTTCTCCACCTGTTTTGCACAAGTTGGTCCCATAGGATCGGCTGGACCGCTCTAACAATACTCCCCCCCAAAAGACCCAACTTGTCCGCAAGGTGGAAAGTCGACACCCTTCTCTATTCCACCTTCATCACAAACGGTAAAAACTTGAAGAGTTTGGTCCCTACACCTGTACTTCGGAGTATACTTCTCATCACATCTGAAATATGGCCCCTTCACCCTCTTCTCTTATAATTCTAATTCTAAGAACTTCTTGAATTTATCCCCAGTTTTTCCTCCTGCAATCTTCTCCTTTGAAGTCCCCTAAAGAGTATCTAGTATTTGCTCCTTGGATGCCAATAAGGTGGTGGTCATCCTGTATGAGCCTACTGAGCTATTGCCTCCCGTTTCTCTCTCGATGTGTCTCTAATCCTCTACCAATTGAGTTAGCTATATGACCTCTCCTAAGTCACGAGGTCTCATCACTATAGCTGCCGCCTGGATCTCTAATTTCAGTCCTTTCATGAAGTTCTCCACTAGCACGGTCTCAGAAATGCGGTCCAATCGACTAACAAGGTACTCGAACCTCTCCCGGCACTCTATTAATAAATTAGCTTGTGTCAAGGCGAAGAATCGTTCGTAGAAGTCTCCTCCCATATCGATTCAAAATCATTTTAGCAGGCAATCCTTAAACTCCCTCCAACTCCATATGGGTCACCGCAAGTCCCTCCATTGGTACCAAGCCAAAGTCTTCCCTTCTAAACATAGGCCACTGCCGTCAAACTCTCCTCATCCATCGAACTATTAACAGTAAAGTACCTTTCCACCCTTTAGATCCACCCATGTGCATCCCTTCCTCAAAAATAGGCATATGCAATTTCCCTACTCTCAGATCTCCTCCGCCAACCCTGCTTCATCCAAAATTTCCCATTCCCCAAGGGGGGTGTGGCCCCCCAATTGTGTCAATCATCCTTCTTCGCTTGCACCCAAACCTTTCATCATAAGCCCATCTTCTCCCTTCAAATTCAACACACCTTCGATCATATTCAACCCCTCTCCTTTTAAATTTGACACCTCTTTGATCATTATCAAGTCCTTGCCTTTCAAATTTAGCCCCACTTCTTTCAAATTTAACATCCCTCCACTCATGCCCAACCCCCTCATGCCTCTCCGCATACTCTCTACCGGATTCCTCCCCAGGAATAGGCCCTAGGGGAGGCCTTTTTCTGTTCCTTCCAAAATCTCCACCTCATGATCCTCCCTTCGTCTGATGGCTTATGGTTTTCTACACTTCCCTTACTGTCGGTGACTTCCCTCACCTCCGATAACATTTTTTTTTTGGCCCTCAAGCACTTTCTTCAACATCTCACTAAGGATGAAAAAATTTGAATTAATCTTATCATGGATGACTGAAATTTCTTTCTTTGAATCTGAAACTTGAGTTTGTAAATATGAAATTTTATTTGTTGTCGGATCTCCCCTTTGAAGTGTTCCTCCAACGCATCCACTTTCTTGGTCGCTATCGATACCCAGATTTTTGTTGGACTAAAAATTTGAATCTCAATTCTAAAAAACAGCAAAACAGCCCCCTTCCGGCTAACAACAAAACAGCTCCCTAAACCCTATTCTCCAAAAAAATTCTCTCAAACAATCCCAAAATCTGTTATGATACTAATTTGTTAGGAAGTACTTGATGATTTCAAGTAAACTCTAACAATAAAACCAAAAACAGCGAGAAAACTTCACCAATTCAATGGAAACCCAAAGAAAACAGTGATTTTATTGCAAGAATCAAATAGAACTGAAGAAAAATAGCAAGATACAATTGATCCTCTATTCGAGAGGAGGATCTATCTCTCTCAAATCTTTAGACACCACTAGCTAGAGCCCAAAAACCTAAGAGATCTCAAATTTCAGCCAAATTGAAGATGTCCTAACCCTAGGAAAACAAACTATTTAATGCATATAATCCAAAAGGAAAACTCTTAACAACCCATACTTTGAAATTTCCCTCATAACTTCCCTTCAAAAACCTTCCTAAGCAACTCTCTAAGACCTAGGCAATCGGATCGGGCGTACAGGAGGTGGAACTTCTCCGCATGTTTCGCATGGGCCGGTCAAATGGACCAGTCTAACACAACACTGGGTCAACCTTGTTATACTTAAATTCCTCTGTTCTTCATTCTCATTTCATTGGAGATGGGACTAAAAAGAAAAAAAAGCAAAAGATCAATCACCAACAATTGATCATACTCAACTTCATTCAAATCATCATCTCACCATCAGTCTTAACTCAATTACTTAAGAATTCTCATTATACATTTATCCCTGCTTAGTGCTCCATAAGACGATCAATCTATTTTTAGGCAGCCTAATTTAATAAGCTACAAGCGACTTCAGGTAAACAGGTAGATTATTTTCACTTGAGCAGCCGTTTAATTTTGCTTGGACCCATGCATCAATAAAATAGAGAAATAAAATTATTCTCCCGAGTAACACATTTTTCTACTTTTCAAGTTAAGTTGTACATTTTAGTTTATATATGGCTCCATAGGTATCAATGATTTTGGTATACAAATTAAGGGGCTGTTTGGCAACAGGATTTATGCAGGATTTGAGCCAGATTTATGCTAAATCCTACCAAATAAGATTTAAGCAGCCAGTAGATTTTATGGCGGAATAAATCCTCCGTTTCCCTCTATCATAAATCCCGGATTTACTAAACCCTGGAGTTCAGTGGATTTAAAGGATTTGGTTGAAGAAGCGCGTGAAAAAGAGAAAGCTATTTACCTTCACAGCGAGCGAGCTCCCGTCGCTACTTCCGATCCAACAAAAAAGAACGGTGAACTGGAAAGAACGTCTTCGAAGGAGGCGAAGAAGGGTTTTAGCAACTCCTCACGCAAAGAGCACACGAAGAGCACGCAAAGTTGAACAGCAACAAAGAAATGGAGAAGAGAGATGTAAATGTAGAAATGACTTAGGCTATCGAAAGAGAAAGAAATTGTAATTAGGAAGAAATTAACATATGTAATTTAATTAATAGAAATTTTAATATAAATAATTAATTAGAAAATAATATAAATGTTAATTAAACTATTAATTAGATAGTTAATATTTTAAATAATAAATTGTTACTGAAAGTCAAGTGAAGACTGGTTGAATCGTTGGTTGGAAATTGATTTGACCTGTACATGATGGTGGGCCAACGGGCTTTCCTTTAAAAAGGGTTTGGCGATATCCTCTATTGATCATTGAAATAACGATTGGGAGTCATAAGAAGATTATTATGCCGACGGGCATAGAGTGACGACTCTTATTGAGTCAACGGATATAACGACACAACGATACATCGACTTGAAAAACGCCTTAATAGCCAGTGATTGTACTTGTTCAGTAAGACTACTGTATTGAATTACATGTGTACGGTATTGACATATTGATCTCATTATGGATTCATGGATTTATTGATATCGACGGATTTGTATTGAAATTTATTTATTGACGGATTTACGGATTTACTGTCACTGTACGATTTCATTGATATTCGCATTATGTCACTAAGCATTGATACTGATACTGATATGGATATCGATATTGCATTGACTTATTGTTACTATGGACATGGATACTATTGATTCATTGATATTATCGTTTCATTGATACACCGTATTGAACTGCTGCATGTGATTCATTGATCAATATGGAATAGGTTTTACTGTATTGATTTGATTCCAACCGTTCTTGTGATGTATTGGTTTGATTGTTTTATATGATTTCATACCGATTGATGTTATTGACCAGAGATAATTGATTTGATTGATTATATTGATATGATATTGATTTAACGGTTATTATCGAGACGATGATTTTTCTCTATTGATTTGATTGGATTCTTACGAGATTTATCGTATGTACTGATTCATGGAGCTTTATGGACTTCTTCCTACCTTCTTCCTACCGTTTATCGATTCTTCTACCGCTGACTATGGATTTTATCGATTGTACATTGACTACTGATTTTCGTACCTACATCGATTCACTGATCATTTGCAATTGATTGTTATGGATTTGATGGACTGACATGCATATTGTTCAGTACCGTGCTTTGATTTCAGTTATAGGCTTTGGTGACCTGCTGGGCTTTTTGAAGCTCATTATATGTGGTTAACAATTTCATGTCAGAGCAAGGGAGTAGGAAGTGATGGTTGATCAAGATTGTCGACGAATCCTTTCACTATGAATGCCTGGGGCGTCACACAACCATTCTTATCTGTGAGACCAAAAAGCTTATGCCTAAAATATGATGGAGACATAATGGACAGGAACATTGTTATAGCATAAACTACTTTTAACTAAACACTGCCCAGGTTTATTATGTTCAGCACTTTTAAAAGTGCATGCTATAATCATCACTAGGGTTATAAATGAATTGAGTCGAACTAAGCATTATATTGTTAAAGCTCATTTATTTATTTCATATCAAGGTAATCTTGTTCAAGCTTTTTTATTAATATTTTTTATCAATTTTGAGTTGCATTGAAACTATATTCAAGCCTAGCAAACTGTATATAGCATGCTTATAATTTAAACAAATGCCTTATTATTAACAATAAATGTACTCATAATTTTTTAACAAATTTGGCAATAATTCACTCACATTATTTCTAATATTTGATGAATTAAAAAAAATGAGATTTTAATCCATTCATCTTAATACTTTCATTGCACTTATTCTTTTAGTAATATATAAACTTTTGTAGTGCGTAGAATATAATAAGACATAATAAATCAACAAAAAGTAATTAAATCATCTCAAGCTCTTAGCAATTTACTTTTTAAACAACAAACAAGTATGCCACAAACATAAATGAACAACTAAATCAATGTTCAAGTTTATTCATTTATATGTCAAGCTTTAAAAATTTTATTACGTAGTGGGACAAAGGCTTGATGTTGTTGTTGTTTCATTCTATACTCAGCAAGGTAGAGAACCCTTTCTTCATTCCTAGGTGGAGAATGACATTCATAAAGCTTTTTCTCCTGAAAAGCCTGAACCCTCCTGCTCCTCATAACGGCGAAGATGCTGCTCCCTCCTTTGGCTCCTTGCAATGGCAGAGATGTCGCTCCCCATTTCTACTCCTTGCAATGATGAAGAAGTCATTCCCCTAGCCTCCTCAGCTATTCTCAAGTCTTTCACCTAAAGACTTATTCCCTAGAGCTTTTGTCCAAGAGCTCCAAAACCACAATACGAAGGACCCAAGATGCAGGCCGATGAGGAAAATTGTGCGACTCCCTCACACACCCCTTGACTCCCTCAAGGATTACCTCTCAACCTCACCTCCTCTCTCTCCGAAGTAGTTTAGACACTCTCACAAGCAAGGAGATAACTCTCCCTCTCCAAAGCTCTCCCTCAGAAGAAAAAGCGTCTCAGGCTACTCACTTGCATCTCCTCTCATTACATGAAAACACTTAAGTTGGGCTATTTAAATCAAATCCTAATTTTCAAGTTGGTTCTTCTGATCGTATAATACAAAGTGTGCATCATATTATCCAATTATTTAAACATTCATTTCTGAATTCTATAAGTTTGAACTGAACGATAAGTAACTATACAGAACAATTAGCTATATCGAATTAAGGATCGTCCAGGATGAACCAAAGTTCATCCACCACAAGTTCTGTTAAATCGTACTGGACAATTTGGATTATACAATAAGATTGCCAATCAAGATTTGATCATGATTCGATTGCATGATCAACGATTCAAATTAGGCAAGATTCATTAAGCATCGTACAATACAATTAGGTCGAAATTCAAAATTGCCTAAACTTGATAAATCAGATTCAACGGTTGGAATTTATGAAAAAAATTGATTATCATATACGAACTCCGGTCGTACAATACAATTAGTTATGCTAGAAGTTAATTTAATTAAACACTTGATTTCATTTTATGGATTAATAGATCGTCTAGTACGATTGGGATCGTACAATATGATTGGGATCATACAGTACAATTTAGTAGAGAATTCATGTGTTCAATTTTTATCCTCACTCGTGAGTGTGTGCTCAGTTGTTTTGCCAACATACATCTAATTACATAAAACACTCAAAAAATAAAAATACAGACTCTTGTTACAAATTTAAGTAGATTCAATGTCGCAATTTCTTGAGTTTGCTTCTTTGATTCAGTGTATGTTGTAATGGAAATGTTAGTGGCACACAAAAGAAATATATATATATATAACGGAGAGCAAAAAGTGATCTAATCAATAATATTTGAAAGCGTCAAAACGTCAGGTCGGACTCATGGATTTCAACATAGATTATACAAACTCTAATTTCTGTTAGTCTAGAACAAAAGCCATGTTAGACTAAGCAATACAAAGAAATGCATGAAATTTGAAATGGGAAAGATTGACAATATAAACCAATGATATCATACTTACCATCAAACTTAAAATTTGCTTTGGTATCTGCTGCGTCTGAGATGCTGTTTCATAGCCTTCTTTCATGACTGCGATGGCATTCCAGTTAATCTATTTAAGTCCTAAGATAATACAGTAGTAAAATACATTGTAACAAATCTAAAGGAAGTCACCTTCTTCAATAGTAGTCTGCAATTTCCAACCTTCACCATAATTGACCAGTGCTGCTTTGGGGCCAAAACTAATAGATTCTTCCCCATCTTTAGCAGCTTCAATGTACAGAGCTGGTGGAACTCCAAAACCTAGCTTACTATTTATCAAATACACTGCAAACCCAGCATCTGTTCCACTTGCAAAACGCCGAACTTCACCGCAGCTCTTGCATAGAACTTCAAGAAACTAGCCACAGGACAATATATAATAATTTTAGTCACATATATTTCCATACTGGAAAATAAGAATTGAGTAAACAAGTTACACAAATTTTCACGACTCTTTGAATAATACTGAAATAAGGAGCTGTTGGGTTACATGATTAAGCCAAGTTTTAGTCAGGATTGAAGCTAAATTTTGGCAAACAGCTTTTTGAGCAAAATAAATTGTACTGTCTACTTAAATATCAATTTCTCCAATTTTGGGTTAAATCCTAGGTTTAGTAAATTCTAGGGAAGCAGGGTTTAAGAGATTTATGCCACTTCTCTTCAATGCGCCTCATCTTTTATTTCATGTAAATCTTATACCATGAAAATATCTATCAAACACTTTACCAGTATTTAACCTAATTTAACAGCTATCATGTCAAACAATTTTCAAAAATCAATGCCCCCAAGATTATTCGGATGTGAAAGTAAACCACGCATCGAAAAAACAAAAAAAAAGGAATACAGTGGAAAGCAAATGACACCAAGATTTAACATGGAAATATCTAAAATCGAGAAAAAACCACGGAATCATGCCACACTAAGAAATCCATTTGGAAAATTGGAAGAAATAAGTATAGATCTCTCTTCTCTCTCACTCTCTCCTTACTTCTAATCACTCTTACACCATTCTCACAACTAAGCAAAAGAGAAAAGCCTCTATATACTACCAAGGGTCACCACCCTTGAGAAAAATTATAAAGAAAAACTATCAAGTCTGCCTCAAAGCATTGCAATGCTCAACACTGCCTGACAACGTTGTTGCGTTGAATTTAGAGTGTTGTTGTTCTCTGCTCTCTATCTTTTCTCCCAACAACTTTGCAGCACTGAGATGTTCGAGTACACAGTGTCAAGGCATTGTACGGTTAAAAAAAAATTCAAGTGCTTGGGGGAGGAAAATACAATCTGATTTGAGGTCTAAGACAACAATACAATTTGATTGATCGACACAATTAGATTCCACAACGACTAACAATCTCCCACTTAGAACTGATTGCGATCAATCCTTCTCCCGATCTGCATTACTAATCATAATAATTGTAGTGTGACTCACTCTTGCTCTCTTCCTTAATGAAGACTAACTGAAACTACACAGCTTCAGTTAGTCTTTATCAACATATATGCAGGATTCTCGGTCGTGTGTATATTCTCCAAAGATAACTGACCATCTTCCAAAAATGACCTTATGAAATGATACCGAAGCTGGATGTGCTTGGTTCTGTTATGGAATACAGCATTCCTGGCTAGATGAATAACACTCATACCGTTACTATGCAACTTCCTATTCCTTTGCTCTTTACTAAGTTCTGCCAAGAAACTTTATAACCAAATCATTTTCTTGCTCGCCTCAGTGATAGCAATGTACTCAGCTCCTGTGGTTGCGAGCGCAACAATCTTCTGTAACTTGGAAACTCAACTCATTGTAATCTTTCCCAAAGTGAAGATCATACCTGTTAACGGCGAATGACGCACCATGGCGCAAAGGTCCCTTTGGAGCCATGGATCATAGCGTACGGCGCGGCGCGCGCCATTTTGAACATGGCGCAAACTATATAAGAATTATAAAATAATAAGCATGAATATAAAATAATATTGTCCAATATGACGCAAACTTTACATTTCACAACAATATTGTCCAAGAGACGAGAATTCACATTTAAAGTTCTCACCCCTTCCTCCTCTCCTATAGAGTCCAATATCCCCCAATCAAAGCATGCACTCAAGAAGAAAACTTATACAAAGCATGCACTCATGAAGAAGTAGACTAACACTAACAACTATTACTAAATATGATGAATACAACAATATGCCAGGCTACCGGGGGTCCAAGGGGAAGCTGCCCCCTAGCAGGGTTCGACCTAGCGGTACCGAGCATTTTTTTTTTTAATTTTAAGAGGTTGACGTCACATTTAAACAATTTGGCGCGGTATTTTGCGCCGTGCGCCATGGCTCACATGGGGCGCAAATAGCGCGCTATTTTAAACACATGCACCTCGCCATGAAAATGGCGCCGCATGTGCGCCACACCGCGTTGAGCACCATAGCACGCTATTTTGCGCCATTAACAACTATGGTGAAGATATAACATGTTGTGCTCCTCCTACCATCAAGATCTCCAGCAATATTAGAATCTACATAACCCTGTAGATTAATCCATGCACCTCCAAAGCTATGAGCTTTGTCAACTGATTCTTTCAAGTACCTGGGAATCCACTTAACTGCCTCCTAATAAAGTTTACCTAAGTTACCATAAATCTGCTAACTACTCCCACTGCATATGCTATATCAGATCTTATGCAAATCATAACATACATCAAACTTTCACCTATTTAAGCATATGGAGTCCTCTCCATCTATTCTTACTCTGCTTTAGATTTAGGCGATTATTCCTTGGATGACTGAAAGTAACAACCCAAGGGAGTGCAAATTGGCTTTGCTTTGAAGCACCTTTTCAACATATTCAGCTTGAGAAAACTTCTGTATACCTGCACTTCTATCCCTTTGATCTCATATCCCTAAGATTGTACCATGTACAACTCTTCTTCAATGTTACAATGAGGAAATACTTTTTTTTATATCTAATTACTCTAGATGTAAATCTTCCATTGCTACTTTGCTCAATACAATTTTGATTGTAGTCATCTTCACCGCTAGAGAGAAAATTTTAGTAAAGTTCACTTATTCCTTCGGTTGAAAATCTTTTACTACAAGTCTGGCCTTATAACACTTACTACAATCAAGTTGTTATTTCAGCTTGTAAACCCACTTATTCTATAGTGCTCTCTTGCTATCTTGTAGCTATGTCAAATCCCAAGTTTGATTCAACTCAAGTGAATGCATCTCATCATCCATGACTTTCACCCATTTCCTTAAATAATCAACTTGAATAGCCTCATCATAGCACTATGCTTCACCATTATCTATCAGCAATAGATAGTATAGGTAAAGAGAGTACATTCGTATGGCTTTAAGATTCTGGTGAATCTCCTAACTTCAATAGTAGGAGTCTGAGCTACTCTATGAGCTTCATCAACTTTGTCTTCTTGATCATCATCAACATCTTCTATCTCAATATATTTGAAAGAATCTTCATGAGTCTCATTTTTATTGAATTTGACAACCCTGTTCTTTATGAATTTATGATTCAAATAATCCCCAAATTTGTAGCCAAATTCATCTGAATCATATCAATAAATGTACACTTGATAAATTTTGGATCAAGCTTATTTCTAGATCCTACATTAACATGACCATAGGATGAATAATAAAAATTTTGAGGTGAGATAAACTTACCTCCATTTCACTCTAGGATTCCTCAGGTAATCCCTCATTCGGAGAAACTAAAGGACCATGATTGATCAGGTAAACTACAATATTCACTATCTTTACTCAGCACTGCTTAGATAGATCAGCATGTAATCTCATGCTCATAGCACATTCAATAATAGTTATATTCATGCGCTCTACAACACCATTCTGCTATGGTGTTCTTGAAATAGTGAACGCATGCCTGATCTCATTCAAAGCACAATACTCCTTAAACTTCTTATCACGGTACTCATCACAATTATCTGATTTGAGACACTTGAATTTCAAACATGTCTCAATCTCAACTATGGTCTTTCACTTAAAAATATCAAACACATCTAACTTGTATTTTAATTAGTACACTCATACATTTTTGTTGTGGTCATCAATAAAAATAACAAAATGCAAATATCCTCCTATAGAAGTAATTGGAATAGGACCCCATACATTAGTATGCACTAACTTAATATTCTTTGACTTAACATTTGAACAAGTATTTGAAAAACTCATCCTATGTTTCCTGCTATATATACAATCTTCACAAAAATCTAAATTTATAAATTTTAAACCAAGAAATTTTCCTCTAGTAAGAAGTGAATGCATACATTTATTACTTATATGACCAAGCTTTCAATGCCAAAGACGTCCATCAACATCTGAATCAGTTATTCTAATAAAATCTGATGTTTTGTTGATAATATACAGGGTGCCTTCAATACTACAACGAGCTATAATCATAGCTTCTTTTGTCGTCTTCCACGAATCTCCTGTAAATAATGTCATATAGCCTGAGTTTTAAGATAATTCACAGAAACTAAACTCCTTTTCAGACAAAGAACGTGCATAACATTCTTTAGTCTCTAAATTGACCCATCTAGCATTTTGATAACATCTCCTTATCCAATAATGTCGTATGCATGTTGTCACCCAGATACACTTTACCCAAATTACTTTGAGTATGATTCTTAAATACCTTGTTGTTAGGACTTACATAAAAAGAAGCACATGAATCTATAACCCAAGATTCAGGATTATCTAGAGATAAAATCAGAAAATTTGACTGATGCTCTTCTGAAGATACATTTGCGGAGTGATTTTTATCTTGACGTCCACCATTGCCCTTCTTTGGAACTGTACAATCCTTGAACTCTTCTTACCAGAGCTCTAACACACAACTTTCTCTCTACCTGAAGTAGAGTTACCTCTCCTTAATTTAGATCTACCTTTATTGACACATCACAATAATCAGATTATTCAGGTGCTCTACCATTGGAGTGTTGTCCAATATCTTCATATTGAATAACTTTTTCATCAAGAACATTTTGTTTAAGGCTGATGACTTCCATATATCGTAGTCAGTGCGGCCATAAGATTGATTGTAGCCTTCTCATTTATAATGTTGAATGCAACATATGAGAAAATGAAAGTCGAATCAAACCTAGTGCAGTCCGGTCAAGAACCTCCCACACGTACTTAATCATAGAATCCAAATTCTTGGTGATTCCTTCCAACAGTAAATACAATTATTGATACAACAAATATTCAGTTTGCATTCTCCAGAATGCAAAGTCTGAACTGTTGAATTTCTCAATCTTGTATCTTGCTTCGTCAGTCATTATTCCCACTCAAACAGATGAACGAGACTCTAATATCAGTTGTTGGGGATGTGAAAGTAAATCAAGCAACGAAACAAACAAGAAAAAATAGAATACGGAGGAAAGTAAATGACATCAGAGTTTAACTTAAAACAAAAATCTAAAATAGAAAAAATATCATAAAGCACACCACACCAAGAAATTCACTATGAAAATTGGGAGAAATAAGTACCAATCTCTCTTCTCTCTCACTCTCTATTTGCTTCTATCACTCTTACACAGTTGTCACAAACAAACAAATGAGATAAACCTCTATATATCACCAAGGGATCCCACCCTTGAGAAAACAAGAAAAAAAACTATCAAGTCCACCTCAAAATGCTATGGCGTCAATTTGGAGAGCTACAACGCTCAACGCTCTACTTCCAGCCAGCCTAATAGTGTTGTGGCGCTCCGCTCTCTATCTTTTCTCCTAGCAAACTTTGCAGCGTTAGAGCACTTGGGTACATAGCATTGGGGAATTGTATGGAAAAAAATTTCGGTTGCATGGGGGAGGACCCCCGCACCCCCACTAGCGAGCATGAGAAATAAACTTGAAGTTCGAGGCAATAGTACAATCCGATTAATTGACACAATTAGATTCAGTGCGGATTAAAAAGGATTTACTAAATCCTGCTTGTAGCCAAACATCCATTAAGAATTTCAAATATTCCATAAATCTCAATAAGTTAGAATGAAACAAACTTTAAGTTATTTATTTATTTATATCATAAGATTCGCATATTAAGAAATTGGAGTTCGCATTTTATCACCCCTCAACCTCAAGCTAAATCCTTTGCCTTCCATTTTTTCCAAAGCTCTGGTCTTTCGAATATTCCATACATTCAAAATAGAAAATAGAACCCACTTAAGAATTAGTTATGTGGAGATAAACAATTCAACAAACTCAGAAAGAAGGAATGCGAAGCATTAATTTCACTACAAGGGAACAACTATGATGTTTAGATGCAGCTCAAATAAAGTAGATGAAAATATTGGTGAAATAAATGAAGGACATAATAATATTACAGGAGGCTGAGAAGGACCCGGTAGCTCCTTCCTATTGTCTTCCTGTTCCGCCATTCGCGAAGACTAGAATGCTATCAGTCTATCAAATTCTCCACGCGATAATCTGAACCTGCGAAGAAATTTCAAACAGTGAAGAAGAAGCAGAAGAAAAAGAAGAGACGAACATAGGCTAGGGTTTCCGAGAAGAAGCACGCCACGGTCTTCGGATCCTTCGTTGGAAATCCGTTGACTAGAATTTGTGGAGAGTGGCACGGCACCAAAAAAAATCGAAATTTTAGAGCAGTCCGTTAATGCCAGTTTAAGAACTTTATTTGGAATTGAAATTTAACTTATAAGCCTAAATCTTAAAACAAACAAACAAACAAAATTATAAGCCTAAATCTTAAAAAAAATTTAGAGCAATACTATATATTAATTGCTCAAATATATTTGGTGTTTATCTTCTTGAAAAAAAAAATCTAGATTAACTACATATTGAAATATTTATGGCATATAAAATACAAGGCATATTCCTTCACTCTAGATGTAAACTTTTGAGTAACAAAAATGCTCAAATGTCCTTCAAGTACCATTTGTTTTTGGCAATCTCTTAGCACGTGTTGTCAATCTATGATAAAGCTCAATAGTGATGGTTTCTAAGTTCCAAACATCTTTTGTGTAAGTGTAAGTAATGTTATATTTTTAGTTTTTTTTTATTTGAATGATTTCATTGACGGCGGTGGAAGGTTATAATAGAAAGGAGACTAGAAGAGAACCTTGGTTTAAAAAAAAAAGATGCAAATTCATAATAGGATTTTCAACTTTGTTTGAACCATCTTCACACTCTAAAATCTAAACCATAAAACATATTAGATGAGGCATTAACTATTATAATTATAATCAAATTATGTTAAAACCATATTTCAGACTTGCTCAAATCATTCTCAAATTGATTTAAATGTGGGTCGTATATAGTTTGAATGTGGCTTTAACATGATTCGAACCATCCCCTTTTTTATTATTATTATTTTATATGGAATTGATTCATTTAAGTTGGTTTACTATATATGTAGATGTCAATTCTAACCATAGTGTAGAAAGACATTTCACTATTCAAATCACACATTGAGTTAAGAGCGATAATAAAATAATTTATATAATTTGATGTTTTTGGTATTCTTGAAAAGCCTATGAAAATGCTAACTTTAATGAAGAAGAGTGTTCAAATTTAAGATTCTATATGTGAGGCTAGAATTGAACCATTTATAGTGAGATAGATGAATTACTGAAGTATTATGCATTAGTAAAGAAAGTTGAATGGAAAGTGACTAGCTTTGTCGAGGATAGAAATTATGCATTAGTAAAGAAAGTTGAATGGAAAGTGACTAGCTTTTTCGAGGCTAGAGCATTCACGTAAGATGTCAGAATTGGGCACCTTATAGTACATCATGTTTAGTGGCGGGGCCAGAAATTTCTTATAGCGGGGGACTAACTTAATTTTGTAAAAACTTTCCTGAATTTTCTAAAAAGATAAAGAATAATGATCAAATTTACACAGAAATTTATTTAATTATTCTTGTTTTAAAAAACATTAAAAGGTCAACCATTTCTCTAGATCAGACATAAATCAGACTATGTTTTGAAGTAATATAATCCTTAAAAAGTGTGAATCATTGCTCGTGCAAGATTTTGTAGAGAATAGAAGGATGGAGTCTAAAATAAGAGACCATTGAAACTAATAAAATTATCCTACGTGTGTACTTATTTCTTTAAAAAAAAGCTTCTGAAATTTTCAGTATTGCTCCATGTATTATCTTTGGAAAAAAGTATATCATTAAGGTAAGAATTAGCATTCTTAAATTCACTGTTTTCAAAACAAAACACTCCAATGCACAACCTCAGGTGCAACAAATTTACAAAGTTAAGGTTGTAGGATTAGAGCATGGAGAACTTGCTTGCTCTAGTTTCGTCAACTACTGCCACATAATGAGCTATATTTTCATTCCCCGCGCAATATGACCCCCGTGGGTTCCCTCAATTTGCCCATAATTTTGTTATAGCCATTATGATTGTATTTTCTCTTAACAAAGTTATAGTATATCATATTATACCTATTGTGATCGCACTTGGATGGAAATATTAGGCATAATACATATAATTGATAATGTATCACAATTAATTCATTATTCAAAGAAATATACACGAAAGTTCATCTCAAATAAAATTAGCTCCTGGTACATAAAATTGAGTGATAACCCTCAATCATGAATTTGTATGTTCCCTTAACAAAGTTATAGTCTATCTTATTATACTTAATGTGATTGCACTTTGATGAAAATATTAGGCATGATACACATAACTGATCAAATATCACAATTATTTCATTATTCAGAGAAATATAAACAAAAGTTCATCTCAAATAAAATTAACCCTTGGTATATAAAATTGCGTCATAACCCTCAATCATGAATTTGAGAACCTTTGCACAAGCTAGCGATGTGAACTTTGTTCTTCTCAGTATATTATCTTTTTTTGGAGTTTTTAGTCCTTATGTAATCAGTTAATAATAAATCTTTACAGTGACACACTTGATTTTTCAACCACCATCTATTCAATCTTATTATTATTATACTTTCCATTATTTATGTTTCAATGCAATCATCGAGACAGCTATAAGTTATAATATGCATAAATATAAACTAATAATAAAGGTTTCAAATCATGTTCGAGTTTAATTGCATAATATTCTAAATCATAAATATTGCTAGATTTCATATTATTGTTACAATCATGATCGAATAATGTTCAAATTCCAATAATTACATTAAAATGCGCCTCGATATTTAAGAGTTTATCTTCTTTTACTTAAGGGGTTTCACAATCTCCCCCAGTTAAGTAATTTATGTCCTCATCACTATCATTATCCCAAAAATCATTCACCAGGTACATATAATTCTAGATGTGACCCCTACAAGTCAAGTGGTGGCTCCCACCCCATAACACTTTGTCTCATTTAGGATTCAAAAGGTGGCTCCCATGGCATAGCTCTTTGTCTTGTATGGTACTTAGTTCCTATCTTCTAGCAAGTGTATTTCTCTGATACCAATTGTAAAAACCCAAAATATTAACTATCGAGATATATGTTGCAATCCAGGATCCATAGTATGTGATTTTGATGATGACAAATATTATTGATTGAATTATTACTTTTCTCATTAAATGTTATGTGAGCACTAATATTATAGGTAAGACATCCACTACTCAAAGCTACTGAAAGCTCAATAATATGTAAAATAGGAATGTCAAGTAAACAAAGTTTGTAATTTTATTTTACTTTATTTTCTATTTCTTGAGTCTGGCTATATAAGAGAGTATATAATTGGGTACGTGACCGCACACAAACACAGATGGAGTGAGATAAATTTTAAAAGTTAAAACTTTTGTACTAATCATATTGTATGACTTACAATTGTATTGTACTATCAATATAGAAAGAACATGCTAATTAACGATTAATTATAAAATTAGTTTTTGTGAACTAATCGTACTACCGTAAGATAAAAAAATTCTAGCCGTAAGATTAATTTAAGTAAGATTTTGAAATTTAATTTTCAAATTAATCATACTATACGATATTATTTGTACTATACAAATATTTAAAATCTTGCTAAAATTAACCCCTATAATTAATCAATTAAATCATAGTTTAATTAATGATAGTTGATCGTATTATATGATATTGATCATACCAAACGATTAACAAAGATGAAATTCGATCATCCTAAAGATTGTACCAAAGGAACCCATGATTTTTTTGAACTAATCATATTGTACGATATTCATACCATATTGGATGATCTACTTGAAATCAATTACCTGTACTGTACGATGATAGTAGTACGTGACGATTAGTTGAGATAATTTTTAGTTGTCCTAGGAATTATCTTATGCGAATAGAGGAAATCAAACAAATCGTATTAAATGATCTTTGGGTCATACTGTACGATGTGTTTGAATTAATTAAACAGTTTGCTTGAATGATTATTTACATTGTACTAGATGGGACTAGTTTTGAACTGATCATATTGTACAAACATGAATCGTACGGTATGAACAATGACGGTTAACTTAATTTTTTAGGGTTTCTTGAAGCCCAATACATAAGAATGTTTCAAAAATTCACTTTCTAATGGCGAGAGGATTGAGTGACTGCTGAAGGAGAAGGTCCTGAGGGAGAAGGAGTGTGAGGGGATCATATGGTTGCTCTAAGCAAGCCACACCCTTACTCCTCCTATGGCCTTAGTGAGTTTTTGGAAGATCTCTTGGGAGAGAGGCTTCTAGGTCAAGTCCTCGAGGTACTATGCCTTCTCCATGAGGGAGAAAAATGAGCTAAGGTTTTTTGCCTTCTCCAGGAGGGGGAAAAAGGAGCTGATGTTCTCTATCTTCTTCAAGAGGGCGAAAAAATGAGTTAAGGTTTGCTACCATCACCGAAAGGGTGATATAGCATCCAACACTCCATCGTATTAGATTTGGTGAAAGTGAGTCTGTAAGGGCTTCTCCACCTTGCTATAGGATCAAAAGGAGAGTCACTTAGTAATTAGTGTAATACTCGGAGTGAAGGACTCCGAGGAGTGGATGTTAGTTAAGGTTGATTAAACTACTATAAAAATCTCTCGTGTATTTTTTTCCTTTTTACACTTTTATTTTTCTTACATTTTATTTCTATTATAACTGTTTGGAAAAATTGGTGATTATTACTTTATTTCGTAAATCAAAATATTATTATAGTTAAATTAATATTTTTGATAAACACGTTCTCTTCTACAATCAATTAGAATTTGATATTTTCAATTTCTGAAAACTCTTTCAAAAATATTATCATCATTATTTTAAAGTTGGGAAAAATTTTAAAATTAAGAATTCACCCCCCCTCTTGGTGAGCCTAGCTCTTTAAGATTTGATGACATTCATGAAATTTCAAGTGGTATGATAGTGAGTTTCAAAAATAAAGTTTTATTAAACTTTTGAAGAATGATCAATGGCTCATTTTGGTAATCGTAATACTGTGGGGGTTATTCGATAACATGTCCACAATTGTTTGAAAATATTTTTTTTGATTTCAGGAAAATATGCATGCCTGCTTTTTTATAATCAAATGACTATAGAATTTGGCATATGATTCAAATTGGATATTCACTTTCATCGCATGTAGTTAATGGTGTCAAAATTAATATTTCTTTTACTGAATAGAGTTATAAGGATAGCGAATTCGCACAGTTAAATGCTAAATATTTTAATTATTTTTTTTGTGCTTTAAAAT